TCCTCCTTCTCCTCCTCCTCCTCCTCGTCCTCCTCCTCCTCCTCCTCCTCCTCCTCCTCCTCCTCCTCCTCCTCCCCCTCGTTCTCCTCCTCCTTCTCCTCTTCCGGCGGGCCGCGGGTATAAGGCCGGCCGAGCTCTTCGGTCGGGAGCCTGATCACTGCCCCCCCGCCGCTCAAACGAGGCGTTTCCCCCAGGAGCGACAGGCGAACGGCGGCCTATACGCTACAGATGCACGGGATGGATATCGTAGGCTTTACTGCCTCGATACGCCCGGTCTGAAACGCAACACGCACCGTGCTTGAAACGTCCGTGTCAGTACGTTGCGTGCTGGCTCAGCGGGTTGGCCCCGCGTTTTGGCGAACTTATATCGCGTCACACCTGCGTTTTCAGTCTGCATGCTGAGCTCCGTATCAGTACGTTATACGAGTTGCGTACCTCGTACTTCGGCAGCTGAGGTCGCAGGTGACGGCGGCGGCGGCGGCGTCGGCCGCGAGCTCGCCGCCCGCCGGAGCCTCGCGAAGCAGCTCGCGCCCAGCTCCAGCGGCACCGTCATCCGAGGGCCGCCAGCCCGCCGCCGCGGGCCCCCGCCAGCCTGGGCAGCGCCCAGCTGGGCGCTTGCCGCGCGTTGAGCCTCGGGCCCTTCGGCCACGCCCGGCTGCTCACGGGCTCCTCTCGGGGGCTGCGCCGCGGCCCCCTGCCGCGCCAGCGCCAGCGCGGCGGCGGCCCTCCTTTTCCTGCACCTCCTGCTCCTGCTGCCCCTCCTCCTCGGAGAGGGGCGTGGCGTGAAGGGTTGTGGTGCCCATGCTGAACATGGCGATGCTACCTACGATGGCCGCAAGTGCGTTGCATCCCGATGTCAACAGCGTTGGCTTTGCGCCGACCGCCTCAGACAACGTCAGAGTTCCGGATTCTAACCTCTCTAAACGTCTGCAGCCCTATGTGACCAACAGCACAAACATGTGTTCCAGGACGCCCGATCACCAAGCCTGCAATCTCGGAAATTCCGAATCGCGAGCAGCGTGATTCCTAAACTTCCGTATCACCAAACACGTACTTCGAGAAATGCCAGAATTTACAGATAGTAGTATTCCAATACAAACTAGAATGCCGGAAACTCCGAAACGACGTTCCAGAAATTCTGGAATCACGAAAGTAATTCCATGAATCAAGGGTTTTCCAGAATCGCGCGCCTAGCGATAGTGCGTCATGGAATTTGCCTATTCGTCGTCGCTAAGATTGGACGGTGGTCGTTTGGGAAAGTTGGAATCCTATAGTCTGATTGTGTTCGATGCGGTTGACGCCAAGCCAGCGTTGCTGAAATCGTAATGCAATGCACTTGCGGCTATCTTAGATAACATCGCCATTTCCAGCATTGGCACCACATCCCTTTATACAATTTCGACCTCTCTTCCTCCTCTTCTTCCTCCTCCTTCTCCTTCAACTTCTCCTTCTCCTTCTCCTTCTCCTTCTCCTTCTCCTTCTCCTTCTCCTTCTCCTCCCCCTTCTCCTCCTCCTCCTCCTCCTCCTCCTCCTCCTCCTCCTCCTCCCTCCTCTCGGGGTTGACGACGATAGCTGTGTCTTTATGGGAAATGGAGGTGTGCAACACCTGTTGGCACGCAGCTGGTTTCGGCCCAGCCGCTGGGAATTTTCCTCGATGCGTGGGTTTCTGGCTCCGGGCAGACAAGCTGCATGCAGCAAATTCGCCACCCCCCCTTCGCGATAATCCTTCTCCGTCCAAGCCGACCTGTGGTGCATTGACATTTCATTCATTTTGATTTGTTTCGTCTATGCTATGTCCGCCTTAGGGTACCGTTTTCGGACCAATTTTCCGAGGACCAGTAGAACCGTATGACATGTCACACGGGCAGGCCAGAACAGCCAGCGAAGTCTTTTCGCTCAGCCGCATCAGTGTTGGATGTGACGCTACATAAAATCGTCACATGTCTGTTCAAGTGTCAGTTGCCCCTTTTGTCCACCCTGCTCTATAGAACCTCCCAATTGGGGATGTTGGCTTCTACGCTTTGCGTGCTTCTGTTCATTATCGGCGCCACCTCTGTTCTTGGTGTAAGAAGAAAAGACTGACAGAGGAGCAAGGAAGGGCAATGCATGGGTACCAGGAGGGAGAGACCAAGGATAGGAGGGCGGGGAACGTAGAGAAGGAGGAGTGAGGAAACACGCCATTGTGAAACCTTGGGGGCATTATGACCTGTCGGCGGGCATCATGCATTTACTTCAGGGCCGCTTTGTTCTCCCCCAGCACGCGAGCAGGCCGATGCCCGTGCGGAGCTGGCGCTTTCCGTTTGTTGTCCTCTGCGTGGGGCCCCCGAGCGTTAACCCATTTATCGCTCTAACCTTTTTCTCGGTCCCTGCCCTCTTTTGTCAAAACAGTTTCTTTAATCAACCTTCCCCTCCTCTCTGGAAGCAGCATGGCCTCGCCTGCTCGTCCTCTCTGTGCCTCGCGTTGACATTCGCACAGGTTCTCACTACAATGGCTATCGCCTTCTGTCGGCGGCCAGGGTCGCGACACCATAATGGAAGGCATACGCTTCGTTATTGCTTGCAAGGGCTTTCATTCCTTAGCACGCGTTTGCACTACGATAGTTTCGGAGTGATGGCTTATTCGGGGTGTGAGGGAGATATCTCATGAATGCGGCGGTGAGAGAGTGCGATGTTCGCTTGGTACTTGTTTCGCGACGTGCCCAGTCCAGTGGCCCTTGGTATGACTCTGGCCGAATCTTGATTTGAATCGTTCAGGGTCGGTTGAGGACCCCTTAGTCTACAAAAACGTGTGGCCTCGCAGTTGTACGGTGTAGGAACGCTGGTTGTAGAACGCCAAATTTGAAGATGACCGAATCTAGATGTTTCCGTTTTCATGTTCCATGTCGTACCATTCGTAATGGGCTTGGTTCAAAATTGCATTTGTTGTTTTGTTGTTGTTTTTCTTACTTATGAGAGGCGTTGCAGACGACAGCGCAGCAGACCTGCAGAAATTGGTGGCCTTGGCAGGCCACATGCGCTCACCGAGGAAACGGCCAGCAGCAGCAGCAGCATCCGACATTGTTGCAGCAAGTGCTCACGCTGGCGAGCCCCAAGCTTCAGCAGCACCTACCGCCCCGCCTTTGTTGGATGAGCCCGATGACGATCTTTGGGATGTTGATTGCAATTTCCAGTTCGCGCCCCAAACTGAGCTAATCTTGGACAGGAATTGGGGAACTAATGCAACATGCGATGGACGAGAGAGACACACAACTTGTTGCCACCAAAAGAACGCGGGGCATTTGACGAGAATCTTTACCTGGAATATCGGGTTGCAGAGGCCACCGCTGTATTTCCAGCAATGGTGAAGTTCATGGGTTCCAAGGCAGCCTAAGGAGTTGTTGACGATAAAAGAGGTCATGTTTTCCCCCCATCTTGCCGTGGCCCGACAATCAAATACAATCTGTTGTTTTCGGAAATGCAGAATCCATGTGCGTGCGCGTCCGCCCGCGTGGCCATGGATATGCAAAACACGTGCAGGGGCAATCTGTTTTCACAGCAACCCTCATCATCAAGCGGTGCATGCTGCAATTCCGATTTGAAGACTTTCATATTGAGCGGCCAATGTGATGGGGCGAGACAGCGAAGCAAACTTACTTGTGCGTCCGAGAAACCAGGCGAAAACGCCAGACATTCGAAACAGTCGGTGCAGAAGCCATGCTGCAATATTTAGCAATGGCCGAAACGCGCGGCGGCAATATTTCGAATATTTGTCCATACTGTTGCAAAGGGCTGGTGCTGTGAACTCTGACGGCTGATTTGTTTGTTCGAGGGCCTGCTCATAATGGCACCTCTTACACATTGGATATCGTAGACGACGTGAAACGCATTTCGCACGGCATAGATGTTTCCATTTTGGGTCTTACGGTCGACAGAGCTTCGTCACATGGGGAAGCTATTGAATGGTCATGGTCGGACATAAGCTTACGGAGCGAAGGCATGCCGACCAATTACCTACCTCTCGCAGAGCCGCGTAGCGTGCGCGGATTCTAGTTGGTGAAGGCGGCCCTGAAATTGTCGCGCAATATAACTAGCAACTCGCCGGGCCGCACATTCACGGCATTCGCTCCGCACTGGATAGACTTGGACGCATTGCGAAGCAACCTGGTGACTGCACTCGTGTATGTGTTTGTTGTGAAGCGCGAGTGCCGTCCACCTGAACTGAAACGCACACATGAGATCCTGGTTGACATGCTGCGCGGCCCAGGCAGGGGGTTGCCACATCGGTGCGCGCAGCATCGGCGACGTGGGCGACGCAGCGGCGACAAGTTTACGATATCGACACCGCGCTGGGCGCTGGCCAGCAATTTCAATTTCGGCCAGGATGGGTTGACCAATTTGTGCGACATCGCAGAGGGTTCTGATGCGCATGCGGCCGGCGGCGAAGTGGGCGGGCTACGTTGCTCATATCATGGGGGATTTTTCGGCGAGGTCGCTTTTCCACCCGCGCATTATCCGGTGCGCAAAGGTTGGAACGACGCAGAGGAAGGGCGATGGACCCACTCGGTCAGAATATTGCGCAATGTGAGCGTGGGATTCGTCGCTGCTGACGTTCCGCCTAAGAGTCCTGAAGCGCGCGATGATAATTTGGGAACTTGAAGAGGGCGTGGGTGCGCAGCTATCCAATCTCAGCGCGGCCGACCAACACGATTGGACTGCGGGGGATAAATGCAAGCTGGCGCGGACCAATGAAGGTTTCTGCAGTGATGATTCAAAGTGGAAGTCTCGACCATCACAAGTAATCCTGAGAGCGTCGAGCGGTGCATGCGCGACGCATGCCGGGGCCCTGGCTTCCGCTCCTGGAGGAGGCGCAGTGCGCGCCCGAGACGCTGTCCAGCGTCTGCCCCCCCCACCCCCCCAATCTGCTCTTTCTTCTGTGGGTGTTGAAGGGCGCTTGTGTCAGATCTGCGCGTTATCTCTGGGGGTGTGGAAGTGACTCTTGTCGGGGTGGGCGCGTCTCCTCTATGGGTTGGCGCGCTCCCGTTCCAGATGCGGGCGCGCTCGCGATCGCGAGGGCGAGGCTGTGCAACGTAGAGGGCGCCGGCGCTGGCCTTGCACAGAGCTTCGCGGAGTCGATCGCTGGCAGCGGATGGGGGAACGTGAAGGAGTCCGCCATCGCCGAGCACGTCGGCAGATTCCTGAAGACCGAGGCGGAGTCAACGGGGGGCGCTGTGGCTCTGGAGATTGCTGGCGCAGGGGCCGGCGGCGTGTCCAAGATCAAACTGTTCTTGGCGAAGCGCCGTTGCGACTGCGTCAAGACGCATTGGAAGCACTTCGGGTTGGTCGTCCTCGCTGACCGCGTTCGCGGTGCGGTGGCTTTCCGCAGCCTGGTTCTTAGGCCGACTCAAGTGGCCGCGGCGGCTGTGGTCGGATCAGCCCGCCTAGATCTCTAAGTAACAAGGGTACTGCATCGACAAACCTGATTACGGTGTCGCACCATTCGCAGTCTTATAACAATAAGCCGCGTCCGTGCGTTCACGCATTAGCATAGGAAATCAGATCTCACCCATCTGACCCCGATTGTATCCTGTCTTAATTGCGGATCGGTCCGACCCTGTCGGTTCTGATCTCAATGCCCTATGATGTGCTATCCGTTTGGATCCATCCAATATCATCAGACTTCTGTCAAGGGTTTCGGGGGGGAGGTAGCGGCGCCCGCCGGAGTTGTCTGGGGCGCCACCCCCTCCCGCCCTCGACGGGATTACCCGGCGGATCGTCCCCGTAGCTTCGGCAGCCTGGCTCTGCCAGGCTTGAATCATGTTGCTTGTTCTCTTGGCCGCGCTCCTGATTGGAATGTGGAAACAGCGGTGCATGATAAGGTGCGATCGCGCCGCAGGTCAGGCCAGCGGCTTCACCGGCGATGCTGTGGCACCAGACCAGGTTCTTCACGTTCGTTGAGGCCCAGAGGAAGCACACCCACTTCGCTTTGGGCGTGCTTATCCAGGAAGGTTTAGCCGACGCGTTCGGGCGAGTCACTTCGCCGTCTCGGATTTCCGCGGTTAGGTGGTTCGTTGAATGATTGCGATGAGCATCGCTGCCAATCCCACAGAGTCCGATCGTTTGCCGGACAAAGGCGATGCAACCGTTGGCCTGATCCACCCCGCTGTCATGGCCCGCGCTGGCGGCTGCGTGGACATCCTGCGGCATTTTTCGAACGCTCTGATCGGCAGCAACGACGCGACCGAGGTCTCCACCGCCAATGTAGGCCAGGCAATCGCATGCGTGGAGCAGAAGACGCGCGTGAGCAATATCAATCAGGCCTCCCACTCCAGCTCCATGTGGTCGTTTGCCCTGGCAGCCTGTCAACGCCAGCTTGCTTCGACTTCGAAAGGCGAGCTTGGCGACGAGAAGATCGACAGGGCTATGCAGATCTTGGGCGAGGACGCCGCGCTGCCATCCTTGCTTCGCCGGTGCGCTGGGCTACCGGGAGGACCTGCGCGCTAGAGGCGAAGAGCGCGGGCCGCATCAGGACAGACGAAGCGTTCGCCGCGATCGACGAGTCCGTCGACCACTTGTTCGAGGCAACGATGCTTCGGAACAAGAGGCTGCGCGAGGAGCAGGCGTCCATGGCGGGGGTCTTCGCAGCCTGCGTCGTGAGGGGTGGCGTCGTGACAGTGAAAGGCGATGTCGATGATCAGGGGTTGCCTGAAGACATCGCCTTCATCAGCTACCAATTGTTGTTTCAACTTGTACATGAGGCATCCATTTGCAAGGGCGGCCTCAAGAACTTGTGCGAGCGTTTGGTGAAGGCTGTTGGGCGCTTCTCCTACGGCCTGACGGGCGCCCTCGAGGCGACTCGCAATGCTTGCGCCGCCGCTTTCAGGGCCATCGCCAACGGCGTCGGCATCCGCAACCGCGTCAAGGACTTGGTCACAAGCATGGGCGCCTTACCGTCGCTGCAAGCCAGCGGTCCTGTTTGGGCGAGTGACTGAGCAAGCACATGCTAGGGCAGGACCAGGCCGCCTTCCTGCAGTCAGCCTTCGAGATTGCGGACATCTGCGACTCAATCGATAACCTCACCATTTGCAACATCTGCGCTGGCGGATCGGCACTTTCGCAACGTGGCGGGACATTTCCCGACGAGCCCGAGCTCGAGGACGCGCCCGTCAAACTTCAGCTGGCGTTTGGCCTGGCGACCGAGGCGAAGAGTTCGCCAATGGCTGCCCACGTGCGTTCTGCATTGGCAGGGTCCTTGCGCTCGTCATGTCAGAAGCTTAGGATCGCGGTCCACATCGACGGCGCCATGGTGGAGGTGGCCTCGGACTCAGGGCCCGAGTGGTGGAAGGATGTCACCTTGTTCTTTTCTCTCGAGTTCCGCCAGTGCGCCGCCGTCGCCTCCGGGAAGGCTGCGGCTTCGGATGGGTGCAGGTGGGAATGCGACGTCGCCGGGGTAGCCTTGCGCGGCATCTGCGAGGTGATCGGCATGTCGACGTCGAGTGCGCTCGCAAATGGGCCGGCGCCCTGTTGGTTCAACGATTCGGTCAAGCAGCAGTTTCCCGACCTTAAGGTGAACCTCGGTAGAGCGAAAACAGGTTGCGATGCGTCTCCGGGTTAGGGGGAATCCCAGGTAGCCCGCAGTAACATACCGCACGTGTGGCGCACTGGCGCCATCAAGTGCCAGCCGCACACGAAGTAATGCGTGGCTGCTGGCGCTGAGGTCGGGGAACTTGTTGCGTGCTGAATCTTAGTCCAGTTTTCGTTGAGGTATTCTCGTCGAGTGGTGCTCATGATGAGTGACATCTGGTGCGACGTGCACGAGGTTTCGGCCAGCCCGGCGCGCCTCCGCCGACGGCGCCTTTGCCGACGCGCCCTCGCCGGCACCTGGGCCGCCTTCGTCGAGGGTGCCGGTCTCGAGAAGGACATCGCTTCATGCGTCGAGCCCCGCTGCGACATCTTCGCAGGAGGGCTTGAGCGAATGGGGCAGTTGGAAGGCGCTCGCTCCGCGTGCCTAGGAACGGTAAGTCCACGCATGTATACTTTGCTGTCCTACTTCCAGGGCTGGTCCGAGGCCGTCGACCTAGCTTGCGAGCGTCCGTTCACGAGGCCTCTGGGTGCGACTGTGGCCGAGAGCAAGGAGCTGCGAAAGGTCGCGCCCCCCGTCGACCGCATCGTCGGCGACGCCGCGACAAAACCGTGGCCACGTCCCACCAGCGCGACCTCGAGAGCAATAGTGCCTTCAATGACATGACTTTGACAGTGCATCGCATTCTTGCGCCAGTAGGTTTTTGGCGCAGCACATGGGGGGCCAAGCCCGCGATGCAGGATGGCGCGCGCGCGAAGGAAGCCATCGACATGGTACATGAAGGCCCGTAAGGACGTGACCGTCACTGCAGAGTTGAACGCAATCTTCTCATCCAGTGTCAAGGCAACGTCCGAGCGTGCAGCGTCTTTGCTTTATAAGAACAGCTCAGACATCTCTGGGTCTCTGGTGGGTGATCTTCAGAGAGCCAAGTCGGGCTGAAGTTTCTGGCCTTTGCATCTTGCGTAGATTGCGTACCAAACACGCTATAACATGTGCGAACGCACGTGCCACCAACACTGCATGCCCTATCGGGCCACAAGGCAGCCCGTGATCTAAGTCGCCAGGCTCGTCAGTATACATGGTCCCGCCTGGCGGCGTGGCACAGCGTTCTCAGCTGCGCGTCATGACATTGCCGTGGGTCTCCCAAGAGATGGCGAGCGATTGCGTGATTGTTGTGGAGCGGTTCTTGGGATGCGCGCCGCGGCGCGCGGCTCAGCGTGTAGATGCGCGCGGGGATAGGGCGAGAGATGTGGGGGTGACGCGCGGGGAATGATGGGGGGGGCGCGCGAGGGGGCTCGGATTGGGGGGGGGGGATGAGGGGGGGGAATCATTGCGCCACCGGAGGGGGGGGGGGGGGCGACACGCGCCCGCTCACATGTCGACGTGGATGTCGAACCGGCGCGGACCCGAGCTGATCTTGACCAGAGTGTCTCTGCCGATGGAGGCGGGCGGGCAGGAGGGGGACGACGAGGCAAGGGGCGGGCATGGGTGCGCGAGCGTCTTAACTGGGTTTGCCTTGCTGGCAAGGGCCCCGTCCATCTGGGTTCTGGGCAGTGGGGCTTCGAAGCGCGGGCCGACTGAGCCCGCGCTCTCGACTCTTGGAGTTGGTTGCTGGTGTTTGGGCGTCTGTCAGAGTTTCGACAAACAAGGCGTGCGCCTGCAGGCGCAACCTTGCACTCGATGGAACATCAATGTATCGATGCATCCTCTCGACTGCCTCCGCTTCCCCCCCCGCCGTCTTCCTCCCGCCCCGCGACCTTATCGCGCCCCCTGCCCTCCAACTTCCCGCGTTTCGCTTTGTTCCTCGTGCCTCCGTCCTTTCCCATGTTGTTATCCTTCTCCTCGCCGTCCTGATTTGATATTTTGGCCAACGCTCGAGTTTCGAAATGGTCCCGGACGTGGCGATGCACGTAGATAGTTGTCTGGCGCGTCCCGTGCACCCCGCTCAGCGACGAGTTTGTCTCTGTGCTATCTTGCTTTCGCGCGCTTGCGTGCGCTTCCGTGCGGATGCGCCGATCGGCTCGCCAAAGCGTGCGCGCCTGTGTCACAGTGGCAATCCCGAGACGATGGCTGTGCATGCATGCGTTCGAACCCAAACCGAGCCACGGAACACAATCATTTATTATTATCAAGACATGGTTGATTTTAGCTGGTACTTCGTTTTGTAAGCGTGACCTTTTTATCATGCCATTGCTCGTGAGTCGTGGTCAAAGAGTGCAAGGAAAGACTTCTCGTTTTCTGCGTGCACCGAATTGGCTGTCCAAGAAAAATCGGAACAATCCTGTCGTAGGAGCCCCCCCCAAAGCAGTTGAACACATGTGTCAGGCTTTCCCGGCATCTTCATGCGCGCGGTCTTCCCCGGATTGAGATGAGATCATACCCGCGCCCTCGAGCAAATTCAGCGGTGATTCTGCAGCTTATGAAAGCACATTGCTTCCAGTTTCCGAGTTCAAGACATGCCTAGACTTCGTTGGCCAACATATTTTCAGTCCCTTTAATTACACCCCCTGTTGGACCTCGGGCGTGCAATGGCCCCCAGGTGGTAATTCCCATGCGTTATGAGAAGCATTTATTTTCCGATTGTCACGATTTCGGTGCAGGACATGTGAGGGCGCCCAATGTGCGGCGGGTTCATGCCCGCGCCCGCAAGTTGAAGGTCTTGCCAGCGCAACTCCAGCGCCCCAGGATTTTGCATGTTAGGGTTTCGCCGTGAGTTCGACTCGCGTTGGCTGGATGCGCGCCAGGACGTGACGTTCGATCGCGACGAGGGCGGTGCCCCACGACCGCTACTCTCAAACATCTGCGTCGTGATACGATCTACGAACACACTGTCGTGGCCTTCATTCATGCACGGAACTGGCTCGAGCAACAGGTTTGCACCCAATATGTAATGTGCAGTTGCAGATTTACGTTAGAAGATGAAGTATTCGAAAGTTGCAGTATGCACCAAGGTTATGAACAATTGCTGGCAGCCAACTGGTGGCCGCTAGCTCTCCTTTGACAGTGTGGCACAACATCTACGGCTGAAGCGCGTGCAACGCGGTTTCGCGCAGTCTTTCGAGCCGCGGGCACTGTAGTCTTTCCGTAGCGGTCGCCGGGATAAACCAGAGTTCGCACGAAGCAATGCGGAGCGGTTGTTGCTCAAATGAATTGGCTCCTACGCGGGTGGGCCGAAATCCAGCATGCGCTAGGTGGTTTCTAAATTCATGTGTTTAGCATTTTCGCCCGAATGGCTGGTCAATTTGAATTATGGACCCTCTTCTTTGCATGGGCGGGCTCGCGCGCCGTACTTGTCCCTGATAGGTAGAGTCGTTGTCTATTTCTTCCGGGTGCTCCGCTTCCATGCATTCTCGCTGTCGTCGTCTCTGGCGAACAGTGCGATGCCCGGATTGCTCTGCCATGATTCTGCGACGAGGGGAGTCCAATTGGCACGCGCCCACGCGCGCGCCGACGGATCTTTCCTTACACCCCCCGTTTAGTAGACGACGTTTCCGAGCGCGCGCGGCCAGCAAGTGTTGCAGCCAACGGAATTGACATGTTACTTTTCGCCAGCAACCTGACATAATTCAGCCAAGTGGCTACGTTCCAGGGGGCTTTGGCGACCGAGGTTCAGCGTCTCAAACAGATTGCGATGGCACGCCTCGCAGGGCACAAACAAGAGTTCACGAGCAAACGCTACCCAGTCAAACACATATTGCGGTTCTATCGTGGCACCGTCGTGCCCTCTTCGCCCCCCCCCTCGGGTTGCCGCTGGGTGCTTTAGCGTTATATACGTGGCCGTTTGGGCCGCAGGGGGCCGTTGCACAGTGCCCTTGCTCCCTTCTCGTCCTCCTCCTCCTTTTCCTCCCCCTCTCCGCTGCCTGCCTTCCTCTGTCTGTTTTTGCAGCTGCTGTCTTCCGCGTGGCTGTGTGTGCGTCAGACCACGGCGCGCTAGATGATTTATTTACCAAGCGTGCCCTCGAGGAGTGTTTGGTTTGTAACCGAGCCTCTCAGACAACAGTTGCGCCCCGCACGACGACGGATGGTCAGGGCCCTCATCGGGGCACTGAGGGCGCGCACAACGACCGTCCCACGAACGCACACCGCCCCAACGGCGGATAGTCGCAGCGACCGTGGCTCTGGCGGCGACTTCTCCAGTTGCTCCAGCGACCACGACCGCATTCAACAACTAGGATACCCCGTCAGAGCAAGAGCTGCCCAGAACTTGCAACGACAATCGCGACGCAGTACTTCAAGACCCACCCGCGTCCGACGGACGACAATGAGTTTTGGTATCTTTGCAGCTTCTGGAGTGCGCGCTGAGCCGAAATCATAGACATGCACTGCGTCTCTGATGTGGATCAGGTGCATCGCGCAAGGGTCTGGTGCAGGGCTGCGCACGTTGCAAGGCACCCGCCGAACTGTGCGTGCGACGAGCGTTGAATTGGAATCCCGCCCTCGACACGAAAGAACATAGTGATCGACATCATTGTGGACAACGTACACGGTGGGACGACGACATACATAACATCATCAGAGTTTGCGAGCACGTTGGCGAAGAAACCACACAAAACTATTCAACCACGACGATGTCTCCACTGCGGCAGCAACGATTTGAGATGGCTGGCGGCCGCGACGGACATGACGCGGTGGAACTCACTTGAAAGCGCCTTCCTCGCGTTCGCCGGCTGGATGCGCAGAGTCACCAGCACAAGCAGCATCAACACCGACCTTTCCCGCTCTCTAGCAGCCTAGCACCGACCACGACCGACCACCAGCACAAGACGCCGACCACCATCAGCCACCACCAGCGACATACGCAGCCACAAAACCGACCACGTCTCGATTAGCTCCGTGCGCAACTTTTATCGCGCCCCATACCTGTACCAGCTCGTGCGCGTCAACATCTCTGCCCGCTGCTTACGCTAGTATGTGCGCCATTCCATCCCCGTTGTTCTTAGTATTGCTATTCGGATGATCATTCGTATTATTCTCCTTCGTGTTGTGAGTACTACTCGGTTGGGTATCACTATTATGCCAATTGTTGTTGTTATCCATAATATTATTATTATCTTTCGGATTCTGAGTCGTAATGCAGCATTAGTAATAGTAGTGCTATCCGTAGTAAGAGTAGCACTCGTATCATTAGTGTGATGATGATGGTGATGGTGGTGGTGGTGGTGATGATTCTTCTTCTTCTTCTTCTCATTATTATTGTTGTTAGCTTTGCGATTAATATTGATATTGCTATTCCTAGTATCCTCCTTCTTCTTCTATCGGTGAGCCTGCGAAATCCTTGCAAATCTGGGTGTAGACATGCGTGGACTTATGGGGAATGGGGATCTGGTCCGTCTCGCCTGGGACATCGTCAGAACTCTGCGTTCCAAAATGTGGTCCTGCAAGTGCGCAGGCCCGTTTCGCACGAGGCAGTCGTGGACGCATGGATTCCGAAGTGCACGGACGTGCGGTGTTCGGCTGGTTTCGTCTGACATTTCTCTGCAACTCCGGGTCGGAGATGCGATTCTCGAGTTGTGGTGGCAGGAGTTAGGGGAAGGATCATGAGAAGGAGGAGGAGGAGGAGGAGG